TTAATGCCATTGAATTACTTCTAGACGATGAAGATTACATCTTATTTTAAGGGTCAATGGGGATTGGGTACTTCTCAATTTTTATTATGAAACTGGCACATGATCATTCGTTTGAAGGTGGTACAGCTGGAAAGTGGCTTTAACGGACAAATTATCGGTCATAGCCTTTGAAATTTGAAGCGAACCACAATGCGGCCTTAATTTATAGTTGTGTATATTCTAAATCGTATTTGAAATGAAATTGCAGTGGTTTATTTTTTTTAATTGTAACTGTAGCATAGAGAGGCATTTAAAATGAGTAAAATCGAAGCCCATATTTAACATCCAGTTACTTTTCAAAGTTATGACGATTTACTGTCTGATCACATTCGTATACGCCATTGTACATAGCCATTCATGCAGCCTAGCATTGTGTACTATTAGTAAAAACTCGCCTTTTATATGCACTGTCAAAATGTAAGACCTGTTAATTGCTAGTGATAGGGGCACCCATAGAACTCACACTGCACAGGGGTTCTTTTACTGCTAGAATGGGGTGGACAAGACAATGGTACTGGAAATGAAATACACATACACCAAAATTTCAAGTTAAAATAATTATCCTAGATTTAATACCTCTCAAAATAATTACAAGAAACAAAGCACAGGAAAATATAATGAATAAATTCACTAAAATTCACTAAAACACACCTAGGAAAGGGTGTATTAGAGATAACTCACAGTTCCGGGATGTGGAAATGGAGTACAGTCAATGGCTTCTGCAACACAACGACGAAGAAATATAAGAGTCGTGCTTGCAGAGGAACGCTGGTATCCAGGAGGGCACCACTAATAGCAGGAGATTGCAGAGTAGTTCATAAAAAATCTCACAGTCTCACATCATTTTACTCAGTGTTTCTACCGCAGAACTATATAAAACTATTTTCTTGTTTTGAACAAATTCTCTCCCGATCAATTAAAATAACGCACAACACTCATCAGAATGTCTTATTTTATTAACATTTAAATTCTTGTAAATTGGGAGGTAAAAAGATTAAATTTTTTTAATATTGGCATTGACACGCAGATCGCGGCAAACCAACCGAATAGCACCACCTGTGTTGACACAATATGGAATACAATATAGTAGAATACAATATGGAACACAATATAGTTTCGACCACTTTCCCCATAGTTCCACGCGCGGTATGTGCCAGATCGGTTGATTTGTGGCGATCTGCGTGTCAATGACGGCAATGCACACCGTTTCTTCCCATGATTCCATGCTCACTTCTTTTTGCAGGGTTTGAGGTCATAGAGTAAAGGATGCCGACATTCACAATGAGCTTTTTAGAATTTGGGTTAGAACCTTAACGTTTGAATCACAGTATTCTGACAGTGAGATGCCCACAACTGATTAAGATGTTTTGATTACAGTGAGAGGTTCCCTATGCAGATGATTCAACGCCGGGATCGAACGCCCGGAACGTGCACATTGCACTGTGGTGCCGGGAGCCTGATGGTAGGATGGGAAGTTTGTTTCAGTTCGGCGATACAAAATATCCTATGATATTTATTGCTGACAAATAAATGAATATAAAATCCGTTACAATTCTCACAGAAATTTCGTATTACTCAGTCGTATGACTAAATTATGAATGGTAGATGTTACTTTAATATATATTTTGGAGATAGTATCGAAGTAAATAAATATCTAAAATAAATAAATAAAATAATAGCGAAGTATAAAAGTGAGAAAAGTTATTATTTTTGTATCTGTCCCTGTTTATATTATATCTTATATCAGTAATGCATTCTACATATAATAGAGTGAGCGATTAAAATGTAGTTGTACTCACATTCTGGACAATCGTACATTAATTTAGCTAACGTAACATCGGCATTAGTAAGACCGGCTCGGTTTCCCATTTTTGCTTGATCGTCTGAGTTAAGAGCATCGATTGTATTTTGACCATTTACGCTGAAATACTAAAAGCAAACATTGGTTAAAACGAACCATTAATAGTTATATATCTCGCTAATTCAATATAAAGTAGAATAAAGACAACCACAAACTGGCTTAGTTTATCAATATCAAAAAGAGAACATAAATTGCGCGAATAGTGCGCAGTCACCTATAATGCAACTAAAGAAATAAATGACAAATATTTACCTTTTCTCCATAATGCATTATGGATCCTATATCGTATGGAACATTGTACGTGTTAGCAGTACCTGTGTCGTATTTGTTGAAGTTATTTTCTTTTCCCGGTTCAATATTAGCCGAATTTATTCGAACATAATTGTCTCTATCAGGACGACTTTGCTCATGCCAGAATCCTATTGCATGACCAATTTCATGCGCTATTACGCCCATCTAATAAAAGAAAGAAATAAAGTAAGAAAGGAAACATCTTCTATTTATTGTGCTATTTTCATAATATGCCTTGAATCTTGGTTTAGACATTATCTTAATAACAACGACGAGTTGTAATTTGCTGTATATTGTACACAGCGGGGTAAAACATAATATGTATTCAAAGTACAACAAAAATGTTACTCACAGATTTACAGCCAGGACCTATTGAAATATCTTGGGACCAATCACTTGGACGTCCGACCCAAGACCAGCACCTAATACCATAATACATACAGTGAGTTGTTGCAATTAATTATACACCAACCACCCATGCTAGACAATAAATACAACTATAAACACAATACATTAATTATCTCAAGGTGAGAAATACAAATTTAAACATTGTATTTAAAATAGCAACATGATAGGTCAGTACTGATGAATTATGTGGTGATTTAACAAAAAACAATTCAGGTAGCAATAATGTGTTATACACTATTATGGGTAAGAATGGTTAAAACTGGGTATGTATGAAATTGAAGTGCATGGTTCTATTAGACGTAGTCTTACACCTTTTTAAAATAGGTAAGATGTTGGACCTTACCCATTATCTTTGATGAAGTTAATCCTTGCCGTGTGTCCTGCGGTTGCATTGTATGGCGGAAATGTTCAAACAAGTGAGGCTCTCCCAGTGGGCAATAGCGCTTTGTATTACTGCCGTGTCACCTGAGCCTAAAAAAATAAATAATGATTACAATGATTATCAACTGAATGCACACACACACCACTGTGCTCTGGCAAAAATACTTGTACAGAACTCTTACTTTCACTAGATATTGTATATGGCACAACGCCACCTGGCCAACGCTTTGAAAGATCAGCATGAGCTTTTCTAGTTGCTACTCCCTTTAGTTCTGCTGCTATTTCTTCTTCAATTATAGCCGTTTGTGCATCTGTTAACTTCATGTCGGACTCAAAGGTACCCGGACTCTCTTGCTCCTCAGGTGGTTCATCCTGAAACAATATTGATGCACGTAATGTATACAATAAATGTTAGATTACTACAGTAACAGGTGGATGGCAACGTATTTTAGTAATTTTTACTGACTGTAATTCTATTACTATTAAGGATTGGGATCAGACGAGCTTGTTGCAATCATGTAATTTACTCTTTTATTAAAGTATGGCGTATTTAGTGCGATATGAACATGTAAATGTACAGTTCTCGTTTCAGTAACTAATGTTGTTTCGATGTTGCCTTATCGCCGCAATTCTACGTTCAGCAGCTGTATCACCAC